AATCCATTTTTAATAAGTTCTTTATAGAAATCAGGTAAAGTATAATAGTCTCGAGACAGATTTTTAAGTTCATGTAAAAAACAAGGTAATTCTTGCTGAATTTGTTTAAGAAATAACTTGGAATGACTTTCCAGTATGCAAATTCATTGGAAAGTAGGGATTTTACCCATTTAATTTGCAACATGGTAACAAAACTTTCAATGTCGATCATGTTTAAACCGCCTTTTTCGAGATCGTTTTTCAATATATTTCTTTTAACCTTTTCAAATTTATCGTCCCAGAGGTATGTATATAATTATAATGAGTTGAGTTTTTTCTGTATCTCTTCTGGAAAGTACAGTGATTGCAATAAGTAGGTAAATTTTGGAAGTAAAATTGAAATTTATAACAGTGAGTCGTCCACAAATAGTAAGTTTTCTTTTTTCCATGAATTAATAAGGACTTTACAGTTTTGAATTTTCGTTTCCCAGTTTAATTGTTCGCATTCTTTTTTATTTGTGCCAAAAAAAGACGCCTAAAGCTTTCACTTTTTCGCTCCATTTTATGTTAGTTTATTTTAAATTATCAAAGTTATTCCCTAATCTAACACCTTCTGTCTTGTGCAAATTTAGTTGTAGACGAGAATGTTTTCCAAAAGTTTCAAAAGTTGATAATGCTTTTTGTATGTCTTCTGTGCTTTTTAAGAACATTGTAGTATCGTCGGCTAGTTGTGTCATTTTAAGATTAAAAGTTTCATTGTTTATTTTTATTGAGATTCCGTTAATGTCATTATTCTCTCGAATTGAATTAGCTAGGACCTCGGCAACGATGATAAAAAGCAAAAAAGAAATTCCGCATCCCTGTCTGAGACCACGTGTTAGAGAGAAAAGTTTCGATATCCAAAGTTCTATTGTTTAATAAACATGACGAAATGTGATTGTAAAGGGACGTTATCCAGCGAATAAACATTGGTTTAAAGTTAAACTTTTCAAGGGTTTTAACAAGAAAGTCAAACTCGATCGTATCGAAAGCCTTTCTAAAATCTAAAAACAAAAGGTTTCCATCAATGTTATTTTTTCCGCAAAAGTCAATTACGTCTGATATTTGTCGAATGTTATTACCAATAAAACGATTTTTTATGTAACCTTGTTGATCGCTGTCTATAATTTTCGGAAGTACTTTTTGTAACCTAATCGCGAGTACCCGGGTTAAAATTTTGTAGTCTTTATTAAGCAACGATATTGGACGCCAGTTTTCAATATTTTCTGGGTCTCCTTTTTTGTACAATAGTGAAATAACACCGATTTTCTGAGAAGCTGAAAGTTCGTTTTCTTTGTGTATTTCGTTATAACAATTAACTAATAAAAATTTTAAGTGATGCCAGAATGTACGATAGAATTCGACTGTAAGTCCGTCATTACCTAGACTTTTGTTGGTTTTCATGCTGAGGAATGCGCTTTCGCATTCATTTATATTTATAAAACATTCTAAGTCTTCCGATTCTTTGTCTTTTAGTGTTTTCTTAAAAACAGTGTTATCGAAAAAATCCCTTAAATTCTCGCTGTCTACCTTTTTTGTATATAGATTTTGGTAAAATTTAACTCTTCGTTCATTGCTTTTTCAAAGTTGGTTATTTGTTTTCCGTCAATTTTTTACGAGTTAAGAACTTTTTTCGATTGTTTCGATTTTTCTAACGAATGGAAAAAATTTCGTATTTTTCTCACCTTCATCGATGAGCTGTACACGTGAGCGTATTTTTGCACCGTTTGCTTTATTTATATATATCGTCTCGATTTCGATTTCTAAATCTTTTATTTGTTTAAGTAATGTATCTGAATAATGCGAATGAAATTCTTCGTATAGCTGCGAAAGTATTTTTTCTAAACTCGTTAATCGGTTTCTATTATGTTTAACTTTCAGTTTTGAGAAAAAGATACTTTTTTCTTTAATGCTGTATTTCAATATTTCCCACATAGTTCTATGATCAATGTCATGAGATTTGAATTCATTTTGAACAGAACTAATGGTATTTATGATAAGATTTTTATATTCATTATCTTGCTTTAAGCTTGTTGCAACATGAACCGGTTGAACCGGGTGATGCTCCCCGAGAAGGTTTTGGACACAGGAAAGTATAAAAAATGAACAAAGGGCAAACATTCCAAAATAAGGCAAGGCAGAGTTATGGTATTGTGCTCTGCACTTCTACTAAATGAGACCTATCTACCTACAAAGTTTCATGTTTATATCTTTTATAATTTTAGAGTAATGTCCGGGACGAAGTTCAAAGTGTCAAAATGAACAAAGGACAATAACTCCAAAATAGACAAGACAGAGTTATGGTTCTTTAACAATGTACTTCAACTCGATGAGATTTATCTAGAGTTATGTCCCAAACAAAGTTCAAAGTGTAAAAATAAAGAAAGGGCAATAAATAAAAAATTAATCAAGACAGAGTTACGGTTTTTGTGCACTGCAAACCTACTAAATGAGATCTATCTACCTGCAAAGTTTTAAGTTGAAACCTCTTTTAGTTTTAGATTAATGTTCAGGACAAAAATCAAAGTGTCAAAATAAACAAAGGGCAATCATTCAAAAATAAGGCAAGACAGAGTTACGGTTCTTGCGCACTGCAACCTAATCAATGAGATCTATCTACCTACAAAGTTTCATGTTGATACCTCTTATAGTTCTAGAGTCATATCCCGGACAAAGTTCAAAGTGTAAAAATTAAAAAAGGCCAATAATTAAAAAAAAGGCAAGGCAAAGTTACGGTTCTTGTGCACTGCACATCTACTTAATAAGATCTATCTACCTACAAAAATTCATGTTGGTACCTCTTGTTGTTTCAAAGTTATTTCCTGGACAAGAAAAGCGGACGGACGGAGAGACGGATGTGCCAACAATTGGGGTGTATGTGCTTTTTCTTTGATCTTTATTTGGCAGTTTTTCCCATAAACTAGTAAAATTACCACACAAACCAGTCGGTTTATTGGGTTTCCTTCTTTTTTCAACAAAAATTATGGACGGAATGAAGCTCATAGACCATTGGATGTTTGTCAGGAAGGACGGACGTTTTAACAGAAGAGTAATAATGTGGCTACTCTATTGTTCTTTTTTGCCACACAAAAGAAAATAGCCACATAAAAGCATTACGAAATGAATGGCATCAAAGAGAAAGAACAGTTACCTATTGTCCCGTAGCCACATAATTACTGTCCTGTGAGTGCGGACGGACGGACGGACGGACAAAGCAGCGACTAGATGCTCATCCTTTGGGCAGCATAAAATGATGGACAGGATAAATACTTTTAGAGTGAACGTTTTCTGCAAATTAAATGAGGGAAACCTTGTTATTTGATCTTTTTCAATGTTACCAGCAGAAGGATTTTTTTTTTACACATAAGAGGGTAACTATATTACATTTTGGTGCATTGACATCTAAAAATAACCCTTGGACTTATTAAAACTCTCACCCAGTGGACTCTGGCTTAATACGTGTCTGCTTCTGCAGATCAGATGCTATTCGGTACTTCTTCGTCTCGTTGTCACTATTTCGTATAAGGAAACCATTGCTTATACGATGCTTACACGTGCTTGTTCGATGTTATTTGACAATTGTGTTTAGATAATGAAATTACTTGGGCCGTCATTAAGCTGTTTTTACATTACGCCTTGAGTCACGCATATTAAAAAATGTTTAAAAACGGCACGTGATCAGGGCATTCTATCCGTAATTTCCTCTTCCGTATTCATCCAAAATAGCAATTTAAATTAGGAAATAATCTTAAATTTCAAGTTCTAACTTATTAACTTTCTGAAGAATACCATAGTTGATATTAAAAATCATTTATAACTTAAATTATAGCAAACTGCACCAAATGAAATCCACATGTCTTGCTTTACAGTTACCAGTAAACTCAAAGGCAAAGATATTTTATGGTATTGACGTAATAATAATAATTATGATTATTATCGTAATGATGATGAACTACTTTTATTACGACAGTGGTAGATATGCTATGTAACAGTTGATTTGGTTAATAATTTTGACATAAGTACAATACAAAATAATCATTTTGTCAATAAGAAAACATGCCGTGTTGGTTGATAAGTCACTAAATGTAACGATTATGAAATTCAGAAAAGTGTCTTAAATTTGCAGCCTTATAATAACAATATTTTTGTTGAATTCAAACAAGGATCTGTATGTGATTCAAAAGTAACAACGATGAAAAACGCCAAGGAAACCAATTTCATTTTGTAAAAAATCATGAAAACTTTATTTCGTTTCAACTTTATTCTGCAATGCATTTTAGTTTACATAACTTAAAACACAAATATGTAATTTAAGCAAATCGGGATAACAATAGCATAAAAAATAATAACAACAGCAACAACAACGACGCCGACAACAATAACAAAAAAAACAACAACCGAATGCGGTTATAATTTCACTTACTTCAGTTTGAAATAATTACGTAAATTGTGTCATCTTAACACAACGCAACAAAGGAATTATGATAAAAATGAAAACATTTTTCAATTTTATCAAATTATTATGCACTATATAAAAGTGCAAATTTAAGGAATTTGATTGGTTATAACTATACTGTATATTCTTTGTAAGATAATAATAGCGTATAAGTTTTTCAAAAAAATAATTAAAAAATATATTAAGTGACTGGCTAAGTCAATTACAAGAGGTCTTTATAAGATATTACTTTTAACTACAAACACGGACATCTTCATGTTTCAACTTTAGTAATGAAATAGAATTATTGACTTATCTGTCATATCTTTATTGAAGATGTGCTGCTATATAGATATGTAATACAATAACTTTACTATTTGCGACCATAAAGAGTATGTAGGTTTGCAAGAAACTTTCAAGAGATTTTAAGTATTTCAAAGACGACTTGTTTGAGATATATCAGTAAAATTTTGTTGATCCCGTTGATTGTTTTCGTGTTCATTTGTCTTTCTTTCATTCTTTTTCAAACAAAAATAATAAGTTACCATTACAACTGTAGAAATAACAGTGTAGCATGCCAAACCTGTATAAAGTACAGAAGCATACGTGCTGTTCGGTAGTACTGATATTGATGCATTGTTATTATAATGAATGAATTGGAAGTAGTGTTTTTAATGACATCTGATGTTGATGTTGAATTTGTGATGGTAGTAGTAGTGTTTGAGGATTCTTTTTTGCCTGAAACAAAAATGTCTTTTCTTGATTCTACGGTCGAGAGAAAGACCTGTTATGTTTGTCCAAATGAAGCCTTAAAAGCTACTCTCCAACACAAAACGGGTCTTAAAACATCAACATATTTGTTTACAGTTATCAAATATGCATAAAAGTTATCTTTGCAGTTTGCACGAGATAACTGTGACTTAACGGTTGCTATGTATCAAGTGACACAATTATAACAACCATTTTAACACACACGTGAACATGTTTCGAGTCGAGTAGCTTGATGCAGGAAGAACTTATTACATGTATATAAATGCTAAATTTTAACCGGATATCGAATATATGTTCTTCTTTTTAGTTTCTTTTTATAGACATAATTTTCTATATATGTTCTACCAGCAACCAGCGGATCTACTTGCAACCAGTTAACGGGTGTGTGTATAATCTCAGTCAATAATTACAAAATAAAAGTTTGCAACGATTTTAAAAAAAAATATAGAAAAACGTAACTTCATGACAAGACATGCATATATAATCTAGTTCCATACAAATGCACAAGTCTGTGTTGAAATTTTATCTTTTGATGACATTTTATTCTAAAACAGCCTAACCTTGAATGTGTGGGATAGTAGCTTTAATTTGTTGACCTTATTATCAGCTTAATAAATGTGTTTGTGTAACTAGCATATTATATCGCCACTTTGAATGCGTTACTTACATAAGGTATATAAGAATATCAATTTCTTTGTAATCAATATCTGATTTCTCTGTTATAAATGTTCGACAATTTTTCATTGTATCGAATAGCCTGAATTTCAGGTGTATGGCGAATATATACTTAATTATTTGAATTATTCTAAGCCCAATACAATAGATTTTTTGGATATTTGCCGATCTAGCAGCATTCAATGTTTCAGGCAAAAAACGAAAATACTGCCCTCAAAAAGATAATTTTTATATGAAACAATAATCTTTTCATTTCTTTTCGCAAAGATATCTTAGATAACATCTAAATGGAGAGAAATTTATGTTTCTGTTTATGTTTCTAGGCATACCACGGCCACACATGACTTGTCTTGTGAAATATCACTTCTGATTTCTTTGTTGATATTGTTGTAACTACGGGCATATATTAATTAGTCGCAACAACTCAATTTGCCCGTGAAAAAACATGTATAATATACTGTCAAAACAGATTATTTATTTTATAACCAACAGTGTTTAACGCACGATTTACACGTGCAATGAAATTTTAGCTGGTCATTTAAATACATGTGATTTTGTATACTGGTTGTAAACATGGCTTTGTTGCATTGTGATTTGAGAGAGGAGCAAATAGCTTAATGCAAAATTATTGGGTTATTATGTAAATGCGCGTCAGAACTAATTACGGATCTAGATATTATCTTTTGAGAAAATGACCTTCCATATCGTAAAATTACTAAGTAGGTGATCCCCGCCCAGGGTAATTTCTGCTGCCTCCGAAAAGGATTGTCAAAGCCATAATTGATAAAGATGCAAGATATACCATGTAGGAGATAAGTGAAATATCGGGCATTAGTTTGTCACATTTGTTTATTAACTCAAGGTCTGGGGTAGCAGGATAAAATTTCTAAATGAAATGCCCCTGCGCCCCGGTCGCATTGGTTCACTTATAGTCGCATCTCCCCTTGTAAATTTTTGGTAACTTTTTCAGAAAATTTTTGCCTCAAAGTCGCCTGTGCCGTCTAAAGTCTTTTTACTAGTGTATAATCAGTTGACCGAAATAACAATTCAAAAATTAATTCTGGGGATTTAAAAGTGTGAAGAGGTCCATAGTGAAGAATGATTAGAAGGACGCAACTAATCGTTTTCAATTATTTACAAAAACAGACTGCCACTAATCAAAATTTGTCCTTAGTATGTACAATTATTCTATATTTATTTTAACCTTCAAATGGTTGTAAATTTATAATAGAATTGATTATTAACATTTTTCATTCTCTTTTGTCTCATAACAGTCAAAGAAATTTACGAAATTTTCTCGATTTCGTACAAGTCTAGTAACAATGATATAAAATACATTAATACAGAAATAAAATCTGGACCGTCCTTTCTGGTGTAATATTGCTCTTTTTTAAGATTCTTTTTCCATTATTGGAAACTTTAATATTTAAAGGGAGGTGGTGGGGTTCATGCAAATCAGTTTTTCACAGTCAATGACAGTAATACAAAATATGGCGCACGTGGAAAAAAAATCGGGTAAGAATGTTAATTGAAACTTTCAATAGACGGCTGTGGAAAATGAAAACAACTTTTCTTTGGAAACAGGCAATTGACCCCAAGCAGGGTCCAGTAAAGGAACAGTGACCTTTAACTTACATCAAATGAATGACTAGAATAGAAAAAGTGTTACAGGAATATAAAAAAAAAACAAATATGTTTTATATTCTCAGTGAGCCGATTTTTAAGCATCCGTGAATGAATGAGAAAGATATAACCTGACGAAAGCATCAATTTCCTTTTTTTAACATTGAAGTATAAGCATTAACTATTTGGACTGTTTACCTGGCGTTTGCGCGTTACAAATTTCTAAAGAGCATCAATAGTATGTATAGTTTCTAAAAATTCATTCATGAATGACTAGATATGGCCATCGATTTATTTTTTATGAAACTATTGTCTACTAATATGATCGTTGATTTTTAAGCAACAAACGTTACACTATTCACTCTTTGTTTAGTTAAAAGAACTATCAAAACCAAGTTATTCCAAAATCTGTCACTGAATGACAAAAAGACATGGACTGGGCATGACTACCAAATCATATGACATTTGACATTCAAGTTTGACCTTTGGGCTGCTAAGATAAATTTTAATTATAATTTTAGTAAGCAGCATATTTATGCATATGTATTTCAAATGACAATCTATGCATACAAGAAAACAATCTATCCTCAATTATCACGTTTGACATATACGTGTGACCTTGACCTTTGAACCTGAGGCCTGACCCATGTGTGAGACATATCATCATCATGTCTTACATATTTTTGCTAAACTGTTCTGTAAAATAGACCCCGGAGAGACTGAAGTGCTGACCGAACAAAGTAATCAAAGTACTTTATCTATGCATAATATGCATGGATGAAAGAATTGCTGACGGGGCACAAACATCGGTACAGTTTTGAAAAAGAAATCATATCATGACTTGGGGTCTTGACCTTTGAGCTCAGGATTTAACACTTGCAAGCCACATATTGTCATTATGTCAAACACATGTGTACATAATGAATTTCAAATCTACGTAGGAATTGTTGACCGGCAAAAACACCAGAAAGTTCATGACGTCTGATCTACAAGTGTGACATTAACGTTTGAGCCAGGAGCCTTATACTTAAACGTGACACAATTTCATTCAGGTGAATTGTGCTTGGAGACCGCCATCGTAAAAAATTAGCTCTTGTTTTTATGAAGTCATCGATGAAGTCATGACATCAATGTTTTTCTAAAACGTTTGGTTCAATTAAAACTGTATTTTATTAACTTTAAAATGATACAACATTATTTACTTTTCACAGAACCACATTTTATTAACATTTGAAACTGCATCAGATATTATTATTCACCCTGTACAAGAAAACCAACGGGGTGAGAAATGCAAGTATTTAAAAAACAAACAAAAATAGAAACAAAGGGGCAACTGACCCAAAAGCTCTCAACCGAGCACAGATTGTTATTTGTGTAACAGTAGTAAAAGCTAGTGTTTGTTACAAACATTTTAACGATGTTGGTCACCTAACTCCACTTCATTAAAATATATGACTGTACATCAAAAATACGAAAGTAAATCACTTGGTAAATATTAAGTCATTTGACATGAAAAAAATGCACATGGTCAAAATGCTGTATACAAAAAAGCCAAAGAAGGTTAACTCATTAAGCTGATACCAAAGTTAAATTTTACATCTAAAACTATGCACATGGTCCGTATTCTATAGCTGTACATCAAAGGACAGGAAAGAAGGTCACTTGTCATATATCTATATTTGTAAAATCCATCAACGAAATATTGTAAATGACCCCAGATTTATTTGCATGTTTTTTCGAAAAATATTTTTCATCGAAAATCAAAAATGGCCTTTTCAAACGTTTTAAATTTTTAGGCAAAAAATATTGAAATATTGAATGAATGTGATGCATTATCATGCACTTAAAATTTCTGACGGATAAATAAATAGATAAATAAATATGATAAGATAATATAAGATAAAAAAGAAAACAAAATAATAAACAGCGTAATTGATGTCATACCTTTCACAAAATATTCATTTCTAGTTGTCACAGTGTAAGGAACTCCATCAATCAATAATCGGAGTCGTATCTTTGCTTTGATTCCACTCTCACTTTGTTCTTCCTGATGAATATAACTAACCATAATCTTTGAAGCAAAGTCAGTTGTACAAAATTGACAGGATCCGGTTTGTGATATTGTTCCGTCAATATCTAATTCATCTTCTTCTGTTCCGTTCTGCAAGAAACATAATTTATTATTTATGAGTCATGAGCCATGTCATAAATAAAACCATCAAAAACTTTGATTTAATTATTACATAAAGAAGAGGCTGTGATTTGGCATGTGGAATTTTACTGTATTAGAAGCAGGGGGATTTCAAAACCATAGCAAACTCAAAAATGAAAACATAATTATGTCAAAGTACAGTTAACTATTAAATCTTGCTAAAGTTTATATTATGTGTAGTAGAGATGTTATGTAAGATACAAACCACAACTGCTTTCCATATTGCTGTCGTATTAATGTGTGAAGAATTTGCCTTGTAAATGCAATCGGTGGTAAAATCAATATTACCAATCATATGACTTGAAGCTGGCTCATTAACAACCGACAGTGTTGGACTGTAACTGGTAACTGAAAGTATATTTTAGGCGGCTGCTAGGATTCTCGCTACTACATAAATTTTCATATGCAGGAATGATATCACTGAAAATATCCTGCTTTTGACAATCATAGTTCATAGGGGACAGTATGTTATTATTTAGCATTTTTATAAGTAACATAGTGAATCTAGACAAGATAACAAAATAAAAACAAACAAACAAATCTAGATACAACTTTGCATTTTGAGAACTTGCGAGTTTATATGCCTATGATTGCTTACCGTCAACCGATATATGTTTAAAATCACTATCGGAAGGGGTTGTAGAATCACTACATGTGACATTTGTACATTCAGTATAATTGTAGGATCCAAATTCAATGGTATAAGTAGATGTTGTAACATCTACTGTAAACGTATATCCCGTGGAGCTGAAACAAAGTCCACCTAATGTACATGGAGTTATAAAAATGCCTCCTCTATACCAATCAATCCCAGGAGTTCCAACATTTTGACAGGAACATTTCACTGTAGAGGATAATATAGGATCTACGTCATCACATGTTAAGGAAGGTAACCCTGTAAAAGGTTATGAATAACGCTTACAATGCATTAGAAGAATAATATTTTTTTTATATAATCAGTAACAATAAACATGTATTTACTTTATTAAAAATATACACATTACATATGATTTACAATGATTTAAGTAAATGGATCGGATATGAAAAATTCCATCTATAACTGGAGCAGTTATAAATTGTTTGACGTCTAAAGATTTAGTAATTTTAAACCAGATGATTAACTACATTCGAAGGGAAATTATTGTTGTACAATGTTATTTATTTTCCATTCAATAATGCTGAAAACTGTTTTTGATTATTGGTACTTCAATAGAGGGGCCGTTTCAAATAAAAATATTAGTTTACCTATTATTTTAAAAAGTACATTTGTATTTGAGGCTAGAACAATGTTCTGCGGAATATCAGGTTACATTTGGATTTGACATGTAAACTAATCTTCAGAAATGTTTGTTATGGTATTTTTATTACGGAAGAAAAGCAAAACACTACGAGAAAAAAATACGTTTAAACGATAAAATCTCCATTAAAAAAAATCGCGAAATATCGCATTGACAAACCATGAGTGATGAATCTTTTAAGGGTTTTCTATATAAATTTTAGTTTTGACAGAGAGTGGTGTTAATCGAATCGGTTATTGTCAGTTTTTAGAGTGGCCTGCAATGCCAAATGTTTGTAAAAGAATGAAATTCCGTTATCAAAGACAATATTTCGAAATAAGCACTCACGGATCAGATTGTCTCATTAAAATGAAGGCTTGTAATGAAGTTGCAATCTGTTAGCTCTTTAATATATTATATATATATATATTAGTTAAATAAATATAAAAAATAAATATCTACTATAAATAGAAAGAAAAACCAACCGCCGCAACTTCCGCCTCATAAAAATCGCCCCAAAACAACAAGAAAGAACCCCACCAAACAAACGCTAAAAACACCCATTTGCAAACATGAATACAACAAAAGTATTGAGGAATCTATAAAGAGACATTGTATAAAAAGTATAAGACGGGGACAACAGAGAATAGTTTATCTTGAATGTACCAGATGTTGAAATATACTTTCTCTTATAAGTCAAGAAAATTATATTATGAATAAGAAGTAGAAGCATTAAATAGAAGAATTATTTCTTAAAAAAACGGTTCACTTAAATAGTAATCGAAGTTATTTTAACATGTCAATCAATATATGGTTAGGACTACCATTGACAACGTATACAATGCTTATTAATTTGAAAAAGAATGTAAAGCATTCATAAGTTATCATTGTTTCAATTGTCACTGTTCGCGGGTTGTATATTTATTTCATTTTCAGAACCTAAAGGAAGCATTGTATGTTGTGAAAAATTCTTTATCAGTAAGAGAATGGAATTCTTATACAGCAAATGATAACCATCCCTATAACTAATCACTTGACTGATTGTTTTTTATTTGCATTTATATATTTATCACATAACCGTGCCGATTTTGCAACTCTGTAAAATGGTATTGCATGGCCGTACATAAGGTTTGACATGACGTGATTTCGTTACATAAACATAGCGTTAATAATATTACACTATATTGAGGCACCTTAATGAAAAAAGTTTCTTTATCACTTCAAACGGTCGGTCTTTATTTTAGGTATGTGGTAAATAGATTATTAAATTCGTGTATTCATTGAACTCGTTCAATAAAATAACGAACAATATCAGTTTATGATATACACTACGATCTTGTCTCAGTGGATTTGCAGTAGTAAGTATCTTCAGTAAGCTATAATATATAAACCTATTGCTAACCTTTTTCATTTTCACGTAAAACATTTTATGATCGGAATATTATTAAAATATAATATTTAAATGAATATTGTGTTACATTTATCTTTAAATTTCATTACAGTATTGTTCAAGATCTTAGGCACAATATAATTTTAATTTCATTTTCTGTTGATTTTTTCATCGATCAATTTATAAATAATCTCATTATTGTCTTTTAAATTTTAAAGAATCATCCTTTTACCACGATCATATGAATTCAATTTCAAAGCAATAATACATCCTTTTAATAGAAAATAGAAGCAAACCTAAACTCACCTAAACTTTTTTGGACAAAACAAACACAAAACACAAGTGTGAAGAATGTTATTTCCATGTTTTCCTAAATAATAAGACAAATAATAGAAATTAATCAGTTAATCATTTTACAAATCAGTAACGAGAACAAAATCCATAAAAATCAATCAGGTGTTTAAGTATAAAATATTCCGAAGTAATGCTTAAACAATAGCCAAATGATTAAAAAAATCAACGTTAGATTTAAATAAGGTAACTCAAGAGTTATCCCTGTTGTTAGCAATGAAGACTACACAACATCTGATGATAGAATGTTCATGTACATATTCGACAATACAGTTTAAATTAGGTTTAATATGATTTTTTCCATGAAAGTGTAATAATTAAAAAATTGAAATGAAAATATTTATTTACATAATAAAACTAAGTACTTTAGATACTGAAAGATACGGAAACAGCGGAATAAAATTCTATGTCAATTATATTGTATAGATTAAAATGAAAATGAGTTTCATTTTATTTTTTCATTTTATCTTGAGGTAAATTTAATATGGCGCCTTGGTATTGAAGAATGTTATCATTATCTTGGAGTAACCTTTACCAGTAACGGCTCCTTTCTAAATGCAAGGAAACATGTCACACAACAAGCAAATAAAGCCCTTCACGATGCAATAATGCAGACTTACCAATCGATCTTACACTTAAACTTTTCGAGCATACTGTAATGCATATCTTAACCTACGGATCTGAAATTTTTGGCTTTGAGAACTTCTTGATAAAAATCCATAACACATTTCTTAGAAGATTAACCTGTGCTAGGAAAAGCACTCCTAAATATATGCTTCTTGGTGAATAAGGCAGATATCCTGTCGAAATCATAGTTAAGACTAGGATGATATCCTTCTGGGTTAGACTTTTATTTGGAAAGCAAAGTAAACTTTCATATATCCTGTACCAATTTATGTTAAATCATTCAGACGATAATTATAAATGGATAAATAAATTTAAAGACATTTTAAACTCTTTTGGCAGGACTGACTTATGGAATTATCAAAATACAGCCGTAGATAAAAGTATTCCATATCGCATTAAACTCACTTTAATGGATCAATATAAACAAATATGGCATGATCAAATGCAATCATCAGATAAAGGCCGTGTATACAATAGCTTTAAACAGTCGCTTATCTATTAAAGTATCTAAATTTAATCCCACGCAATGACGACATTACCCTTTTCAATACAAGACTCACATCAGAGACATGGCGCTATGATGGTATCGCTTTCTTTAGTTAGAACCTGCCCTCTGTGTTCAAGTGGCTCCCAAGCACATAAAGATATTATACTATATAATATACTTTGCAATGCTTGATTATTATATATATATATATATATATATATATATATATATATATATATATATTATATATATATATATATATATTATATATATATATATTATATATATATATATACATGTATTTGCGCATAATTCTTTTATGTCTTCCGCCAATTATAAATTATCCGTTATACGCTATCTTGTTGAATTTTACTCAAAACGGGGCGTAATTAAATTACAATCTTATCGTTTCAAAACTCTTCCAAAATACATTTAATTTTTTTAAATAAAAAAACAGTTATAATAAGTACACACATATTTTTATCCAAGGTCATGATCTATATTGATGAAGCGTGACATGAATGTTACAGATATACTTAATCAAGGGAAAATCTCTAAATTTTATTTGAACGTAAAGTTTTAGCATACAGGTGTATTTGATAATTTGATTGAATTTCTTAGTACACTCTTTTATATATGTATGCCTTTTTTATTTCTTGTTTTCCTTATCAAGATCAACTGTTAAATAATTAAGAATAAAGAATATCCGGATTCCCCCCCCCCCCCCCCCCCAAGAAAACACACTTGTAATAATTCATCATATTGTATACATAAAAAAGTATATATTGTGCAAAATTATGTATGTTTACTGCTGGAAAACTAATATTTTATACTCATTATATTAGCAAATCCTCATATAGTACGTACAAATGTGATTGAGTGAATATTGATATCTGTCTGTCTGTCTGTCTGTCTGTCTGTCTTAACAGTATATGAAGCAACACAACAATAACATCATACTTATTTAATTAATAATCATTATCGTTATTATTAATATCATTTTAACTTATACCTCGTCCTTTAAATTGTAATTAACGACAGAATGGAACAAAACAAAACGTTTATCAAATTTATGTTTTAAAATAATGTTTAATCATCTATACATTTTATTTGTCATGCCAACAACATTGTAAATGTCCTATGGCGACTTTAAAGTGTTACCCACAAATCACATAACATAATTATATTATTTCTTTTTTTACATTCTGTTCTTAATTCGGAAGCACATGCTATTTGCGAACTAATTATGACAGAGGTTTTTTTCATGTCTTCACACTTCAATGACTGTACAAGTTTAAACATAGACAGATGTTGTTAATAATAATTCTTAAAATATTCAATATAACGTCCTCTGATTGCGCTATATTAAGTGTACCTCAAGATAAAATATATATTTATTGTCTGAAATAACTATCTTTGTTTTCTGTTCATCACATTTACGACAATTTGATTTCAAATTGTTCAAATGATATTGTAAATCTCTTAGTTTCAGAAAAAATACATTGTGTCGTCTACGTTCGGCAATAGAAGTAATGCAATAATGCAATGCTAAAATTTCATCAAAATGACTGCCTTTCGACAGATAACATAATAAAACTTTCTCCAAATTGGACAAAACCATAAATGTTTTATTAACGTATAAAATTAGACGTTCATGACAGTAAACATTTACAAAAGAACATTTGGAATATCGAATTAATTTAGATAAATACCTTATTTTTAAATCCTAAGTTTCGGAATATCCATTCAGTTTAACTTATCCGTGTGCATACTGATAAAGTTAATACTGTTAAACTTTTGTAAGAGTATATACCGGGTAGTTCACCTTTATGAAATAAACATACGGTATCTAACGGGGACCATAATTTTCTGGAGTTATTGAGTATCAGAGATCTCAGATCTCAATTTCGTTTAATTGCAATACTCATTAAAAATTCATATAATGTATTTCACTGAAATGTAAAATAAAAAATTAAATTTGATAAATAACTGTTACGTGAGTCTAAGATATAAACCAATTGCGATAGAATCGACACAAACGGAAAAGTCCTTTACCAGTTTTATGACATTGACGCCATCCCACGTTACTTAAGTATCTCTAATTCATAACTGGCAGAAGTAAAAATAATTGCATGTTACAGTGCAATGCATTTTAAAAGGTGTTTTGAGTTATTCTAATTAAAAGAAAAAGCTTAATCCAACTCTAAATTGACTCGATTATTTGATGCGATTCGATTTATGAAAACATATACCTGTTTAAATCATGTACTGTCTTAATGTCTTAATGTCTTAACCTCAGTTGCTGAAGTTAAATTTCAACAATTAAAGTGACATTATGCCCATCCAAGGGTATATTATAAGTGAACGGGTGAATATCAAAATAAGTTTTCATTTTGCTATAATTCCTTTTTATTTAATGATTAAGTTCACATAATAAAAAATGCAGATATCCCAAGGAAATTGCTGTAAGTATCCATTAAAATTTACATGTAACACTTGGTTTATAAAAAGAGTGGGGCAGTCTTTTTAGATTGTAGGCAGATTTATAATTTTATTCAAAACATTTTCCAATATCACTGTTGGTCAAACTCCATTTTGTCAGTTAATCTTTTGAAATATAAAGTCAATTCAACTCAACTTGACTATGAAAATATAAGCATAATGTCACTTTAATATTGAAACCAAAATATGTTGTTAATGTGACTGAAGAATTAATATTTATAATAGAAGGATATTAAATATTAAAATAACTTAAACGTATTTTCTTAAGAAACACTTGAGTGACGATCATACAAATTATGCGGTTTCAACATACAAAGCAATGGATATTTTTGTTTAATGTTATAAACTTGTCATTGTGACTTTTTATCTCTTAATGAGTTATGTATGACCCTGTTTTATGTGATATCATAATATCTTGATTTGGTTAATAAAGCATATGAATATTTAAACCTATCCCGGTTTCTTTTCTATGTGCTACTCGTTTCCGTTTTATCTAATTTGGCATAACACATTCAAGGTGTATTTAGAAAAGTTTACATTTGAAAAAAAAATCTTCGTGGACTAGGGTTACCTTAAGCATCATTATCAAAATAATGACTAACCTAACAAAACTATTTATTATGAAGAATAAACACCAACAAAAACAGTCAGTGTTGTGAAAGTATATAACTATTGGGGCAAGTTAAAAATGAGGTGAACTTGCCTTCATTTGAAAAATAATTTAAAACACTGAAAAACAGGGGTTTTTTTCTGGTGAGCGACTCAGGGCCATCATTGCCCTTTTGTTTATTTTTATTTTTCGTTTTTAGGGCTTCCAAAGAAGCAATGCATACATTGCATCTTTAGGTAAGTATGAAATATTTTACACGCTTTAGTTAAGGAAATAATGCACATCGATGATGTCATCATAACGGTTAAAGTTTAAAGAAAATCAAATTGTGAACATAAAAAATTAACACTTTACAAAATGTTGACAGTCAGCTTATATAATGCCTGTTTTGTAAATATTCCTCTCGATTGCACGTCAATTATCTTACTTTTCACGTTCCGACAAAAAAATTACAGTACCAGCTCAGGCGGTAACTAGACATATTTGTTGGACGACTGACGTCAACTTGAATATTATTTTATTTAAAAAAAACAACTTATATATGCAAAGAAAGAATGCATTTATGTGAGGTATTGTATTTTAAGATATGTACATTATATCATGTTTTATTAAGCATAGTTTATGAATTTGATAAAATGTGTATTTTTTTTAATAAATGCAACAGTAATTCATTGAATCTAACCATGTACCGAAAGTTGATTTAATTTTAATATTAAAATCATACGATTGTTGACTAAAACAATAAACTGGATATTAACTTATTAAGTTGATTTATGGATTCTCTGTCCAAAGGTCCAACAGAGAAGACTACGCAGAATTATGTTAGTTTCTGGCAAATGGTATGGCATGAAAGATCAGATGTCATTGTAATGCTGACTTATCTTCGGGAATCATCATATTCATACAAAATAGTTTACATACATTGTAAACTTTACAATTCAAACTCTAATTGATAAAAAGAACACTGAATTTGTCATGTTTATTTAATGGATGCAACCAAAAATAAAAAAAGAATAATGATCAATCGTTATTCACTTCTCAAATGCTGAAAGTTTTTTTGACTATACTATCATATCTGTGTCACAGTAATACCGCTAATGATTGAAATAATACATATAAGATAATAAGTTTTTTATGTTTTACTTTGAAATTATCAACTGTTCCTATAAATTTTCAGGGGATGAAATGAAATGCGAACAGTATTGGCCAGACGAAGGAAGTATGACTAACGGTGAAATATCCGTTTCGTGTGTGAAAACAGAAATATTTGCAGAATATACTACGAGACGTTTTACCTTATCAAAAGTATAGTTCCATTTTTCCTGAATTTAAAAATTACATAATTATAAAAAATAATATTCATCTGTGTAAAATAATACATATTACGGATTAAAGCATTATATTGTTACGTGTTGGTTCTGTCGAATTATAATGCATGAACGTTCGACAGATTAGTCGGAAACGAATCTATTTGATTTAAGCATTAAAGCATTCACATACACAAGGTTAAGTAAAAAAACAAAAAAAGAAAAAAAAACAAAAAAAAAAACAAAAAACAACTAGCTGTCATCTTCGTCACATTCAGGAATTATTAGATAATTTAAAATCAAAATACGTTTGAGTGACAATTATAAAATATATGGAGTTACCATATACAAGACAAGATATATGTTTATTAAATGAAAGTTCCATTAAAATGTCATTATGACTGTTTCCTTTTAATGAGTTAAATATGACTCAGTTTTATATGATATCAAAATATCTTAATTTGGTTAATATATAATAAAACATAAAAATCTTTAAACCTTTCCCGGTTTCTTCTCTATACGCTCCTCGATTCGTGTTATCTTCCTTGATATAGAACAGTCAATGTGTATTCAGACATGTTTACACTTTTACAAAAATCTTCGTCGTGTAGAATTACCTCTTGTTATAAATTTCAACATCATTATCAAAACAATGACTGACCTAACAAAATTGTTATTGTGGACATTGCTTGTGATAAATTATCTAATCTCAGGTAAGGTCAATTCGATTTGTTTACAATAATGTACCTTCTCAAGAAAGAAAATACTTAAATAATTAGTGTGTCTAAAATAACAAGGACACTCACACGAGGTCACAAACATGAATACTGTAGTTATTTGATGACGCTAAATTCGACGAACTAATGCGTTGATATAAAAGTTTGCAAATAGCGAAATAAATCCCCGGATATTTGAACATGGGTCATCTCGAATGAAAAACTAGGTCACATGATTAAAAAAAATAATAACACTATAGTGGCTACTGTTTTAATCCCAATATCCTGTAAATTGGTCTAACAGTCTGTTTAGATGATTTCTAGGTTAAGTTCGAATATGGGTCACCTTGGGTCGAAAACTAGGTCACACTCCAAAAATATGGAAAAACCTTGTAAACATTTTAGTGGTCACATTTTGACTCAATTATCATCAAACTTGGCCAGGATGCTTGTCTAGGTAATTGTTCGGATGAGTTAAAACATAGGTCATCTCGGATGAAAAACTAGGTCACCGGAGCTGAAATAGAAAAATCTTATTAACACATTAGTGGCTACTGTTTTGATCCAAACACCCTGTTGTTTATTGGCTTGAAAGTTTGTTGTCATGATTCCTAGGTAAAGTTTGAACATGGATCATCTCGGATCAAAAACTTGGTCACACTGCCCAAATATGGAAAAACCTTGTTATCATCAAACTTAGTCAGGATGCTTGTCTAGGTAATTACTCGGATAAGTTCGGACATGGGTCATCTCGGAATAAAAGCTAGGTCACCGAAGCTAAAAATAGAACAATCTTGTTAACGCTCTAGTGGCTACTGTTTTGATTCAAGTATCCTGAAAATTGGTCTGAAAGTTTGTTTTAATGATTTCTAGGTCTAGTTTGAATTTTGATCACCTGGATAAAAAAACTAGGTCACACTGATTTAATATGGATAATCCTTGTAAACACTCTTTATAGTTAGTGGTCACTTTTTTGACTCACCTGTCATGAAATCTGGTCAGAATGCTTGTCTAGGTAAATTTTCGGATGAGTTCGATTGGTCAGGTGAGCGATCTAGGGCCATTATGTGCCTCTAGTTTTTTTCAGTTTTTACTTTGTCTGGAGCATAATCATAGAAGAAGTTTACGAAGCACCGTTAAATTTCATAATTTGATAAATGTCATTTCAGTAAAATTGTATTGCACAAGAATAATAACACTACCTGTAATGTTGCTTTTGTCATTTTTAAAATTCAATTCTTTTCCGGATCATTACCAGAGAAATATTTGAGGTATCACATTAATAGGTTAATATACAATGTATTTGACTCAAAAAAGTGGCCGGTTCTTCCTTTTTATAATTTTAAGTTATTGTCGTTTTTAATTTGTCTTGCTTAATGTAAATGTATTAATGTAATGCAAAATATTTATCAGTCCTGAGCGTAAGCGTGGAGTTGGCGGCCTTAGCGGCGTAAAGTAGGCAGCATAACAACCTGGCGGCCAAGCGATTTTTAATTTCGAATATCAAATTATTTTTTGTATAAAAACCCTTTTTACATCATTTTTTTTTCAGTTAAACTTATCTTTAAAATCATCCCTGTAAGATATTTAAGCACAATCTGATAAAGTTAATACTGTTTAACTTATGTAAGAGTATATTCCGAGTCGTTTCCCTTTATTGAAATAACATACGATATCTAACATGGACCATTATTCTCTGCGAACACTTGAGAACCAGAGATCTGATATATAATTTCTTTAAATTGCAAATTTAAACTTATTAAACTTTTATATAATGTTCATCATTGTGACTTGATTTCCGGTAAATATGGCGGTCACTTTGTATTTATGACTGACCAAGTGAAATATATGTTTGAAACCAATTTCGTGGATTTTGCTGGATTTAGGATGTGAGAAAATGTACAATATGATTTTGCTGTGACATGTCTAAGCGTATCTGTAGAACAAGTTTCAAATCACTTGACTTGATAATTATGAATATTTGATGTTCTAAATTTTGCCCGAGGATTTTACACAAAATTCACGATCCGCGACCACCTACGTATACATTTTTGAGATATACTGCGCTACAAAAAAATAACGTTACTGATGACCAGTTCACAAATATTGGAAAAAAAATAAGAAAGAGAGACCTTTCCTCCTAGTAAAGTTTAGCGGATTCGAAATTGCAAAACGTGTGTTCACCAGGCACTCCTTTCACACATGTCCCTAGACCAGGATGCAATAAATGCTATTGCTGCCGCGTTGTTTCACACAATCAAAGCTAACATTCAAAATACAATGGAGGAAACAATAACAAAATCGTTGATGGGGTAGTAACTGGGTTACAGTCACGTATAAATACAAAACAAACTTTTGGTGGGATGTATATTATGACATACTGTGTATACATTGTTTATATAAATAGCATGAATAAATATCAGTGCTGTTTAAACAAATATACTTTTAATGAATGCAAGTTATTTTTGCATATCAAATCATAAAGCAATCAATCCATAAGTATTAAAAGTGATAATTTGAACACAAGTGACCATTATAAACTCTCTGCGTGATGTATCTACAGTTACAATAAACAAACCACAAAGACAATGTATAGTGAAGGTTCTGGGTAATGTAAAGTGTTATTTTGTCTTCAAATGTACTATTTGTAAATTCCATTCAATATTTAATGTGGTTTTAAGACGTTTTTTTTTGTATTCACACATTTAATACATTCAATATACCATCATATATCAAATATTTGACTAAATGACATGCAAGAACACTTTAAACGAAGTATATTTTATAGAATTAAGATAAAATGGAGTGTGTCCGTATCATATTAAATGTATGCTTAATTAATGCCGACATGTGACACAGATCAGCATAAAAAATTACATGTTTAAAATGGAACATTATTATGATACATTCATTTTTTAAAAAATTGATTTAAAGTACGTTGGGAAAGTTTAATATCGTTTTGTTTTGATTTTTGTTGTTGTTTTTTTTTGTTGTTATTATTATTTTTGCGCTCCACACCATTCATTTATCATTAAAGCATTAAATTTGAATGTTTGCACATGTAAAGTATATGTTAAATTATGCATACATGTGACAAAATGAATACTGCACATTCATAGTATTATTACATGTTAAGTTAGCCTTCATTTGTTATCGACCTGCTAGTTCATATGGAAATTTCAATATATCTTTGAGTCGATATAATAAATGTTGCACGTGTATTAGTATATGTTTAGATAAGCCTACATGCTTTCAATAGTTCATGTTTATGAGGAAAATTTTGAACACATAATGAGTAAGTGAAATAAATACTTCAAATATAAAGTATTAGTATATGTTTAATTTGTCGACAGCTTTAACAAGTTTATGTTTATAGGAAATATTTTAAAACATTATTATGTATTATTTTTCTGAATTATTTTTTTAACTGTTACATTTGAGTACAAATTTAATAAATGTTGCACGTGTATTTGTACAAATCATATAGCCTCGTGTTTCTATTACTTATTTTTTTATTAAAAATGATAAGAATAATTGGGGATAACGCCCTTAGTCAGTCATAACACTTGCAGACGTTTTAACTTTGATTTATTTTTCTACTCTTTTACAAGAGCTTTCATGAACAACATCATTTACCACACTATATTTTTAACTGATTTCTCAATAATTTCTTGACGTGTACCCGTTCAACATCTTTTAAATATATTCATATCTGAAATGTCGACTGGGTAACTCAAGTTTATGCAAATGAAATAATCAAATAATTGACCATGTACATGTAAATAACAATGAAAACAAATCCTTCTGACTGTTGCATAATTCATTCAAGTTGTAAGCGACTTACCAAGTAGTAATAGTTGTTTTAAAGCAAAGTACCATTTGCTGAAAAGCGTAACAAAATAGTTTGTTAACTTTACCATATTCGATCAACATTTAATTAAACCATTTTATGGTTCATATATCCAAACTATCTGTTCATCCACCTTAAACTCACATTTACCACAATTTGACTTCAAATTATTCAAAGATCTTGTATATCTCTTAAAATTTCAGAAAATTGTACAATGATGCCTTCGTTCAGCAATAGTTGTTATGTAACTTATCAATACAACGCAAACTATTCAGCAAAATATATGCCTTTCGGCAGATATATTATTAAGAAAAATTTCTTAAAATTGGACAAAGGCCGTACATGTTTAGTTAACGTGTGAAATTTGACGTTCATGAACGAAAACATTTTTAAATAACATTAAATTTGAAATATCAAACTATTATAGATGAATACCGTTATTTTAAATCCCCTTTTAAAGTTTGAAATTATCCATTCTGTTAAGCTTATCTTAAAGAATCATCCGTGTAAGATATTGCAGTACATACTGATCAAGTTAATACTGTTAAACTTCAGTAGGAGTTAAACCTCGGTAAGAGTATATACTGGGTTGTTTCCCTTTAATAAATCAACATACGGTAACTAACGTGGACCATTATTCTCTTGATAAATGTCATTTGAATTATTGAGAATCAGAGATCTAAGATCTCATTTTCGTTTAATTGCAAAACTTTTCAAACGTTTATATAATTTATTTCACGGAAAAGTGAAATAAGGAATTTAACTTGATAAATATTGTCGTTTTGATCCCTTAGGTCAGTCTTAGATATACTGTACAACAAGGCAGGCAGCACATTATTCTATTCAGTAAAATAATCAATTTTAGTTTCCCAAACAAGCTATACCCCTATCCTGAAGGTATCCGACGTAATGATATTGAAATATTTTTTACCAATCAGGCGGAAGGTACAGTAATATCTTTTTAGGAATGACGACAAAAATAAGCAGAGTATAAACATTCATTAAAAATTCAAATGAGAATAACTCTTTGTGATAGAATCGATGCAAACGGAAACGTACTTTACCCTTTTTATGACATTGACGTCATTTTTACTTCTTTATCTTGAATGTTTTGCAGTTTTAATTGAAGATAACTGCACGTTACAGTGTAAAGCATTTTAAAAGTTTCTTTTTATACATTCTTACTTCTAAAGTATAATGCTTATTCAACTACAACTCGACCCGATTAGTCATTAGTAGATACGATTCCATTTTTGAAAACCTATACCCGTTTAAATGATTCACGTGTAAGATTGTTAATGTCTTTACCTGAATTGGTGATGTTCAACTACCTGTCATTGTAAACCATAAATATTGAACCAAATTTGTGTTGTACATGTGACTGAAGAATAAAAAAAGAAGGAAGTTATATATAAATCTATCTTAAACGTATTTTTCTCTTAAGAATACGTTTGAGTGACAATTATAAAATATGTGGTGTTACCATTTACAAGACAAGATATATGTTTATTAAATGAAAGTTCCATTAAAATGTCTTTATGGCTTTTTCCTTTTAATGAGTTAAATATGACTCAGTTTTATATGATATCAAAATATCTTTATTTGGTTAACATATGATAAAACTTAAAAATGTTTAAACCTTTCCCGGTTTCTTCTCTATACGCTCCTCGTTTCGTTCAACTTCCTTGATATAATACAATCAAGGTGTATTCAGAAATGTTTAAACTTTAAAAAAAGTATTCGTGGAGTCGAATTACCTCTTGTTATTAATTTCAACATCATTATCAAACAATGACTAACCTAACAAAATTGTTATTGTGGACATTGCTTGTGATTAATTATCTAATTCCAGGTAAGGTCATTTCGTTTTGTTTACAATAATGTACCTTCTCAAGAAAGAAAATACTAAAATAATAAGAGTGTCTATAATTACATGGGCATATACTAACACGCGGTCAGAAGCATGAATACTGTAGTTATTTGATGACGCTAAATTCGACGAACTAATGCGTTGATATAAAGGTTTTCAAAAAATGCAAAGTAGATCCCCGGATATTTGAACATGGGTCATCTCGAATGAAAAAGAAGGACACAGGAAGTAAAAAATCAAAAAAATATTGTTAACACTCTAGTGACTACTGTTTTAATCCAAGTATCCTGTAAATTGGTCTAACAGTTTGTTTTCATGATTTCTAGGACAATTTTGAATACGGGTAACCTGGGGTCAAAAACTAGGTCACACTGCCCAAATATGGAAAAACCTTATTAACATCCTAGTGGTCACATTTTTGACTCAATTATCATCTGCTTATCTAGGTAATTCCTAGGATAAGTTCGAACATTGGTCATCTCGGATGGAAAACTAGGTCACCGAAGCTAAAAATAGAACAATATTGTGAACGTTCTAGTGGCTACTGTTTTGATCTTAGTATCCTGAAAATTGGTCTGAAAGTTTGTTTTGATGATTTCTAGGTATAAGTTCGAACATATGTCATCTTTGATGAAAAAATAGGTCAACAGAGCTAAAATAGAAATATTTTATTAACACTCTAGTGGCAACTATTTTGATCCAAATACCATGTTTATTTGTCTGAAAGTGTGTTTTCATGATTTCTAGGTAAAGTTTGAACATGAGTAATCTCGGATGAAATACTAGGTAACACTGCCGAAATATGGAAAAACCTTATTAACATCCAAGTGGTCACATTTTTGACTCAGTTGTCATCAAACTTAGTCAGGATGCTTGTCTAGGTAATTAATCGGATGAGTTTGAACATTGGTCATCTCGGATGAAAAATAGGTCACCGAAGCTAAAAATAGAACAATCTTGTTAACGTTCTAGTGGCTACTGTTTTGATCCAAGTATCCTGAAAATTGGTCTGAAAGTTTGTTTTGATGATTTCTAGGTCTAGTTTGAATTTGGGTCACCTGGGTAAAAAACTATGTCACACTGCTTTAATATGGCAAAAACCTTGTTTACACTCTAGTAGTCACATTTTTGCCTCACCTGTCATGAAACTTTGTCAGAATGCTGGTCTAGGTAATTGTTCGGATGAGCTCGATTGGTCAGGTGAGCGATCTTGGACCATCATGGGCCTCTTGTTTTTTTATTTTTAGTTTTTATTTGTCCGGAGCATAATCAAAGAAGAAGTTTACGAAGCACATTTAAATTTAATAATTTGATAAATGTCATTTCAGTAAAATTGTATTGCACAAGAATAATCACACTACCTGTAATGTTGTTTCAGATTCAGCCTTTTGTCATTTTTAAAATTCTATTCTTTTCAGGATCATTAGCAGATAAATATTTAAGTTATCACATTAATAGGTTAATATACAATGTATTTGACTAAAAAAAGTGCAGGGTTATTCCTTTTTTATAATTTTAGGTTATTGTCGTTTTTAATTTGTTATGCTTAATGTAAATGTACTTTGTTATGCAAAATATTTGTCAGTCCTGAGCGTAAGTGTGGAGTTGGCAGCATAACAACCTGGCGGCCAAGCGACATTTATTTTTCTAATTTCGAATATCAAATTATTTTGTATAAATACCCTTTTTACATCATTTCTGTTAAAGTATGGAAATATTCATTCAGTTAAACTTATCTATAAAATCATCCCTGTAAGATATTTAAGCACAATCTGATAAAGTTAATACTGTTTAACTTCTGTAAGAGTATACCGAGTCGTTTCCCTTTATTGAAATAACATACGATATTTAACATTGACCATTATTTTCTGCGAATAATTGAGAATTAGAGATCTGAGATATCATTTCGTTAAATTGCAAACATTATTTAACTTTTATATAATGTTCATCATTGTGACTTGACTTCCGGAAAATATGGCGGTCAGTTTGTTTATATGACTGACCATGTGAAATATATGATTGAAACTAATTTAGTGGATTTTGCTGGATTAAGGGTGTGGGAAAATGTACAATATGATTTTGCTGTGCCATGTCTTAGCGTATCTGTAGAAAAACTTTCAAATCACTTGACTTGATAATTATGAATATTTGATGTTCTAAATATTGCCCGAGGATTTTAAACAAAATTCACGATCCACCTCCACCCACGCATACATTTTTGAGATATACTGCGCCACAAAAATAACGTAAGTGATGACAAGTTCAACAATATTGGAAAATAAATCAAGAAAGAGAGACCTTTCCTCCCCTAGAAAGTGAAGCGGATTCGAAATTGCAAAAAGTTTGTTCACCAGGAACTCATTTCACACATATCCCTAGACCAGGATGCAATAAATGCTATTGCTGCCGTGTTGTCTGACACAATCAAAGCTAACATTCAAAATACAATGGAAAAATACAAAAATCGTTGATGGGGTAGTCATTGAGTTACAGCCACGTATAAATACAAAACAAACTTTCGGTTGGATGTATGTAATGACATACTGTGTATACATTGTTTATATAAATAGCATGGATAAATATCATTGCTGTTTAAACAAATATACTATAAATGAATGCAAGTTATTTGTTCATATCAAATCATATAGCAATCAATCCATAAGTATTAAAAGTGATAATTTGAACGCAAGCGACCATTATAAACTCTCTGCGTGATGTATATACAGTTACAATAAACATACCACAAAGACAATGTAAAGTGAAGGTTCTGAGCAATGTAAAATGTTATTGTGTCTTCAAATGTACTATTTGTAAATTCCATTCAATATTTAATGTGGTTTTTAGACGTTTAATTTGTATTCACACATTAAATACATTCAATATACCATCATATATGAAATATTTGACTAAATGACATGCAAGAACACTTTAAACAAAATATATTTTATAGAATTAAGATAAAATGGAGTGTGTCCGTATCATATTAAATGTATGCTTAATTAATGCCGACATGTGACACAGATCAGCATAAAAAAATACATGTTTAAAATGGAACATTATTATGATACATTCATTTTTTAAAAATTGATTTAAAGTACGTTGGGAAAGTTTAATATTAGTACAGTCCCTGAGGACCGTTTGTGTGCAAAAAAGGTCCATGGATAAATGTTAAATCATTGTAAAGCTAAATATTTGAAGTTTGCAAAAAATTTGGGTAGACATGTCAAATCATGGTACGTTTTGAGAAATCCAAGATGGCCGCCAAGATGGCCGCCAATGTATTGAAAAATGGCTCATACGCATTTTATGTGCTAAAATTAATTATTTTTTGTATTTATTTTAGTATAGGTGATGTATAAACTTTACATCCTATTGGAACAATATGAAAATGGGGCCTTTTCCATTATTTATACACACGCTCTGGAGTTTGTAGATTAATTTTGCTTAAAAAAAGATGAAAAATATACAAAAAATCGACATAGGGTGACATTTTTTCCTATAAGTCAAGGCATAGTGGAGAAAATGAATATTTTTACCATATATTACAAAGACCTGGACTACATCCTAGTTATTGCACCCTTATTTTTATCTTTATTATGTAAGAATGTGGATTCTGATATTCCAAAAGTGGGTGGGGTACACGAAAATTGAGTCCCAATTTTAAGTGAATTGATATTTTATGATTATTAAGACTAAGAATAACTAACCTGTAGTGCATTTTAAAATGTTCTTAAATCTATAATGCTTTTTTAAAGGTAGATTTGCATTCTACTAACAATATTAATTGGTTCTGTTGCCATGGCAACCAATTGGTAAAATAAAAGACACTTAAAATAAAAGCTCCCGGAACATATTATGCTTTCAATTTCAAAAATTATCATTACAAGTATGTTGAAGAAATATATATGTCATAATTAATCATTACAGAACTCAAAAATCCGGTTTGAATAAAAAGTCTTTGCAACATTCTTCATTTGTTGGCCATTTTGGACAATGAAAAAACTATTCTAGGAAAAAAGTGTGAGGGAATATTCTGAAATTATGAAACAAATAAAGCAGAAAAAAGGGGGGAAAAAGACATACAAATTCATTTCATTCAAATTTGTAGAAAACATGGTCTCTCCACCCATATTATGTTGTCAACTGCATTTAATCCCACATATCAAATGCGATAAGTAGGGAGTGACGATATGTCAATATATTGTGTTGAAGAATTTCTTCAAAATAATGTATCATAGATGCATTGTAATCTGGAAAAAACCTAAATGATTCTGTTTTCAGCTCAACGCAACACAAGCCTCGCTGAAAAATAAGTTAGAAATTTGACACTTTCCTATATTCTAGCAACATATAAATCCTGTGTATATGTCTTAATATGCACAACAAATAGGCCACAATAGAAAATACTTTTCCACCAATGCCTCAAAATTCTTTATAAATTTTCTTGCGACCTACAGGTCAGACCATCTACTGCCTTGTTTTACTGTCGGTCTGTCTTAAATCATCATCAATCAAGTCAGGACTGTTCACCACATGGCAACTTTTCTTATTATCAAATCAGCTCAATTTAAACACATAACACCATCCTATAGAATCTACATTGTTTACCTATTGAAAATCGAAATTCAGTACAAATCATTGCATATATTTTCAGTTCAATTGAAAAACATTAGTATACATTAAGAACAAGCTTAAGGAGAATGTACCCCAAAAAAAAAATTAAAATCTCAAATTAATTATACAATATTAGTAATTCCGATATATAGAGAATATGAGTTTTGTGACTGCAGCCTTCTTTCCTTAATATGTGACTATTTAAGCAGATGCCAACATTACTGTTGAATAAAACATAATACGAACTGCTTAATTACACAAACTGCATCGAAACACACATCAATTTACCATAAACATATTAACAGTTTCTACCATAAAACATTTAATATATTGCATTACATTTTATTATTTTTTCTTACATTTACCTT